GAACTATCTCCTCTTACCGAAAAAAAGTCAGAGTAAAATGAACAGAGTGGGGAAGTGAGAAAGTCTTTCTACCGTGTCTTTCATATTAAATATAAAAACTTGATATTTTCTGTAGAACATCATTGTCTGCATTCAGTTGACCTCTATTAAACTAAGCTTATCACTTATGCAAAATTTGAGAGGCTGCTCTTAAAATAAAATCCTCTAGAACATTCCTCTGAAATTAACAATTATGCAGCTTTTCACCTGTCTCAAAAAATGGTCTATAATACAAAAAGGGTTGGGAGTAACTAAACCCCCAACTTCTGTGTCTTAAATCATTGGTTTTCTCCAGAAATGGAGAGAGCAGATTACTCTCTACAGTATTTCATAACAGTAGCCCATAAAGTAGTAGGAAACTAACAGAAAATCTTCAGGAGTTTAAACTGGGTTCTCAGCAAGTATAAATTGACATTGTTCCATTGCAGTGAGCTGATTGCAGTTAATCTCAGTAGCTCTTAGTAAAGTTTTTAGTAAACCAAATTTGTCCTCTGAGATAGATAGCCTTTCAGTCCCTGCTCCTATGGCAGGTTTCCAACATTGGCATGTTTCAATGAGGGCAAAATTTGAGGGAACAGCAAAAAATTTGAGGGAACCAGAGCTGAAGAGAAAGAAAAATGTGTTTGTACAGAAAAGCACAAAAGCTGAGAAAATACAATATAGCATTATAAGATATCTCTCAGACTACTTGAGGTAGGAAGATATACCTCTGAAAGCCATCTTGTCCGAACAAAACCACCAAGCACCAGTTGCCTAGGACTACATCCAGATGGCTTTTGAATTTGTCCAAGGTTAGAGACTCCACAGCCTCCCTGGGAAACCTGTGCCAGTGCTCAGTCAGCTGGGTGGCCTCCAGCATGCACAGGTTCACGGTGCTGTTCCTCACAAGGGATGGACTTTACAATTCTCTGTGTTGAGCTTCGTTGAATAAATAATAATTGAGACCTGGGGAGGAGTGAAGTCAATGGGGAAGAGCAGGAACAGCAGGACCAGTGGGCTTACAAGAGATATCCAAGAAGAATGCTACAGGAATGGTGACCACCAGCTGCAGCATGAAGCAGGCAGAAAGCAAAACCTGTGAGGAGTGGATTGAGAAGCCAAGGGGAAATATGGAAGGAAAAAATAGAGAAACTCACTGAAAAGGAAAACTTAACAACATTTTTTGCTTAACTGGCAAAAGATAATTTTGAAAAGAAGCAAAATAGAGAGCTTTTCCCACTTAGTTTTCTAAGATGAGCAAGTAGAAAAGAACAAATCCAGAAACCATAACACTAAACTTAAACATAACTGAAATCCTCCATAGGCTGAATCTACAAGTTTCCTCAATGTAAACTCAGAGATAGCAGATGTTATCTGAACTACTCATGCCTGAATTAATAGTTCAGTTAGAAGCACTTGTTTTTAATACAATCCACAGCAGTGTATGGTCAAGATCATCAAAAAGTCTCTGCCTTCTTAGTGATCACAGCATATTGCATAGTAAGACAAAGCATTTCAATGTATTGGCCATTGTTTTTTTTGTGTAAATGAAGGTCTTCAGTGTCATCCTTCCGCTGAAAGAAAATACACCTCTATATTACGAGAGTCTTAAAATGGACTTGCTGTTCACTTCAACATCAGGGCAAAAAAAATCAAAAGCCAAATTCAAGACCTAAATTTAAATGATATAAGAAGCAGTAATATTAAGTTTCAGTCTACCTGTAAGGAAACAACTTAAAATACTTAAATTTTGCAACCGAGTATGACAGCAAACACAGACCTGCCTTAAAAACTATTGGACTGGTCTGTGTCAATTCTAGTTTACAGACAATAACACAGTATGTTTCTCTGATGTTTCAAAAATTGCAAAAGGTTAAAACTTATTAATAGAATTAGTTTAGAACATCAGAGGCTGAAAGAAAATATGAAAAGAAATAAATTATAGTCTAGGACACAGTGGACTGAAGCTCCCTGCTGCAGTCTGCAGAGTTTTTAACTATTTTAGAAGAAACAAGCAAAAGAAGTCCTTTGTGTTTCAATCAAAATAGGTTATGAGTTGCCTTAAAGAGCAACTGTATTTTTGCACCAAAAGCCTCTTTTGTCTTCAGAGCCGTGGCAGGTCTGAAGCCAGCCTCTGTGTTTGTAAATCTTCCTTCTAGCTGGAGGGAAGAAAGAGAAGAGGGCACCAGGACTTGCTCACTAGCCCCAAACAAAGAATCCAGCACTCTCAAAGCACTAGCAATCCCCAGTTCATGCTGCTTTGTCTCCATCAGTGCAGGATATAAAAGCATCTTTGGCTGTATGTTTTGATAAAAGAAATGAGTACCTTGACATGTTTTAAATCAGCAGCTGAAAGACTCCTTAAGTGAATGTGACAGTATTTGAAATGCCCCATGCTGCCACACTTAAGATATGCCAATCACAATTAATAGCAACAGATTTGCTATTCCAAGCCAAATAAAACCTGCAGAGTTTTTCTGCTGAATGAAGAGCTGATGAGTGAAAACAGAATCAAAATTACCACAATAGCCAGTTGGCCTATCAATAGGAATTACTTTCATTTGCCTGTATTCACAAGGGTTAGTGAACAGCAACACTTCAGCTAATATAGGTTTTTTAATATTCAAATTGAATGTGAAATACAGGCTAACATTAGAGATGGATCTCTTATTCTTTTGCACTGAATTTCTGAGGTCTTTCCAGTCTTTATGTTTAAACTGGCCTGTAACCTTCATATATTTCTGTATGAATCCTATTAAATTTGTGTCATTTTTCCTTCTAGCAAATGAAGGGCTATCTTGCTCATTGTTTATCTGTAGTTTTCCCTCATTCAGTAGGAATCAAGTGAATATTTTAAATTTTTCTAGTGGATTCTAAAGAATTGTGCTGAAAATCCACTTGGTAGAGTAGTAAGATCTCTCTCTCTGTAAATGAATGCCTCTAACCTTTCACATTCTGTGAGTTTCTTCTTCTGAAGTCACACAACAGTTTTGGTGCTCCCAGTTGCCATGTCCCATCAGCAAGTTTTACTGAGCTACACCTCATGACCCTCTTTACCATGGGAAGCAGTTGCAGATTTCCTTGAGCAAATTCCTTTTTTTGCTTTTTCTAGTAAATTTTTCTGTTTTGTCATCTGTTTCCATTTCTTTTCATCTAATTTCTTCCCCATCTTCATGCTTAATTCAAGGCTTCCATTTAAGCACTCAGTTTCACTGACTGGTCAAAAAACCCTTTTCTTTATAAGCTAACTGAGCATTTATTGGACTCCCTTGAGGACTACTACTCTGGACCTATGACTTAGGAAACTTCAGGACACCAGGCAACACAGGCATATTTGGACAGACATAAGGCAGACAATTCAGCTAATAATTCATGAGACTGAAGTGATTAAACTAGCTTTACCTCCTTTAAACCTTTGCTGAGCAGTCTCCTATAAAGCTTTTAAGGACTAATGATGTTGGAAGTACAGCAGGGATGCTAAGGCTAATACTAAGCAATAAACCTATGTAAAATTACTTGCATTCATGCAGTAAAGAAACTAATTCACAAGTTTTAACCTAACAGGCAGACAGATGTAATGAGTCTCATTCTGTAACGGACCAACTGCTCTCTCACAGTTGGATTCCCTAAACAGTTACATTGGGAATATTTTGGACAGAAAGAAAACTTTATAAACCAACCAACATACATTCAAAAAACTTTTTTAGCTCTCAGCTGGCTCTGAAGTCTTTAGTTTTCTTTAAAAAAATAATCCCAACAAGCCTGAAACACTCTCTTCAGTTTTCCTCAGCTGGCCATCACTGCTTAATGCAAATGGTAATTTTAAAAGTGATCTCTTGAAGTCGATCTGTTTAAAACCAAATCTCTACGGAAATTCTCAACTTGAGCTTTTCTTCTTTTTTTTGGATGGTGGCATTAATTTAGCTTTTTTCTCTTCTAGAAGTTTCACATTTGATTTTCCTGCATAGCTTTAGCTGTTATGAATGTCATCTGATTGTTTCTTAACAGGAAATAACGTCATTTCTAAATTACCTGTTGCCAGTGTTACATAAATACGACGCTTTTCCCTATAGCATTCCATCCAAATTCACACTGAAAACCCAAAAACTATCTGGCAGTTTTGAGGCTGCAGTGACCGTGGCTATTTGTAGAGCAGATGCTCCACGCAGTTACAAATAGGTGTGCCTGCAGTGCCAGGAGTGACTGACAAACAATTACATGGATGTGCCAGAAGGTACTCGTTCTGCTTTGTTGTCAGGTGTTATTAACTAAATCTTCTTTGTTCTCATATGAAGCTGTGTTTTCTTATTCCACTTTGCATTACAACCCTAATTTGTAGACTAGAATTTTAAGTAGTATATACCAAGCCAAGATCTGTAGTCCCTGATGCCTTTAGGACGCATGGTTAAAGCTCTGCCAGAAGAGGTAGAATGTGAAGGACTAGGGACTATATACAGAATTGTGGAAGAGCCTGGACTGCACCAGATGCTAGAGGGGATTGAGAAAGCATCCAGGAAGGCCAGAGAAGGTTAGGACTAAACACTTTATAGGAAAATTGAGATAAATCAAATGAGGGAGAAAAGAATATCAGAAACAATTATGTCACTTAGCACTGGTGACTGGTGTAAACTTAGTTCAAAAGCCAAATCCCAACATTATCTGTCTTTTGCATAAGAACACAAGACTCACAAACTATGAATAATTCTCCAGCAGATGATGGAAACACTTCCCCCTGAGAAGTATCATCTCTCTCTAAATAGACCACTAGAAATAAAAAAAAGCTAGCATGTAGTGCTCCAAACTGCTCATGGTTTCCACACTGGGCAGCCAAATATCTTAGAAACCTTATAGCACAAGGCTTTCCTGTGCTTCTAGTCCCTCGCTGGGCTGTGGGAGGAAGACAGGGAAGAAGAAGGTCTCTCTAGCAATAGGAAGGATATATAGGTTTTCTCTTGGAGGCAGAATGTCCCTCTGTCTCTTACCTTGTTGCACAAAGGATCCGTACACAAACCACATGGAGTTGTAGAGGGTTGTGGAGGTCATGGATCCCATCTGAAGGCGTGGGGGGTTGAGCCAGTTCAAGAGGTAGACCAGTAGCCCTACTAACAGCACAGTGCCAGCTATGCATGCCCACAGAGAGAGGTCAAATGGTGCCAAGCAGGCAAACATGTCCACTGTCTTCTCCGCCTTTCGAAGCAGCACGCCCACTGAGTAGTCCATGTAACGCGTTGTAAAGTCCACCACGTTTTCCCTGTCCGGGGTGATGGTTAGGGCAGAGATCCCTATGTCAGCTCTCTGAGGAAAAAGTGAGACAGAATAACATGCATAAGCAGGAAAAGATCTTCATTCCTCTGTGATTTATAGCAGTTAAAGTTATGGAGAAGCATATGCCAAGGCCAACGTCTTAAACATTATATATGTGTACACAGAAATGTGACTGGGGCTTGAACAGAATAGCTGTACCATGTGTCTTATTTTCTGTAAGCAAACCTCATTTGGTGGACCCGAGCATATTAGCTCTCCATGTTGTTATTTTCCAAGGAATCAAACTACTTCAAATACAGATAATAGCTGGAGGAAATCCACTTGTGGTCATTTTTCTCAGCCTGGCTTACTGAAGCCATCGTTGCCATTGTGGCAAAAGGCAGACATTGTGTACAGCATTTCCGATCAGAGGAAATTAGCTGCCTGACACAGCCACATGATAGCCAACATTTTGATGACATGATGATGATGATGACAAGGGGCCACTGAACTGGGGGCACTTGAAATTCTGAAAAACATCCATTTTGGCTGCAGACAAGCAGATATTCCATGCAGTTCTTTTACTATTAATTCCTCTATGTCCTCCTGCTAAACAACACCTGTCTATGCCAACCTGTCCTGCAGCTACCTTGGACTTGCTTTGTGCCATTGACATTGTTTTTGTAATTTAAAGAACCCGTTTCAGATAAGAAGAGGATGAATAAGATTCCTTGATCTAATCACTGTATTTCACAGCATGTCTGGATATTAGGTCTCCAGAGACACAAGGCACAACTACAGCAGGTGCTATTTTATTTTTCACAGGTACAATTAGAACTGCAGTGAAAACAAAAAGGGTATTTAAAGCAGACATATTAACACCATTTTAAAAAGCCCAAACACTGAACAAAAAGACTGTAAATTCTAGATGTTTTAACCCAAGAAAGAGTACTTAAAACAGTTTAATCTGCTGCTAGTTTAATACTTTTCTGTTCTGCCTAAAGCAGCGTGTGGTTCTTTGGAAGGGGTTGAGGAGAGCACGAAGGCTTGAAAGTACTGTGTCAAATTTTATTACTTCTCTTGAATTTCTTTCTTCTTGCCCAAAGAAGGTAGGGATTACTAGCTCCCAAAAATGGGGTATGAAATATTAAGTGGGAAGGTGTAGCATCTGAAACTGATTAGAATCAAAGTTTGAAATCATCTGGGCTCTTTTAATACCACCTGCAAAACACTCTACAACCCATGGTACAATTACACTTTTCATCACAGTGCACTTAAGACTTAGGTTTAAATGACATTATTTTACATTAATTGTTCACTGGCTTGAGGAAAAGATGGAAGATACCTGAAGGCCTGATGATTTGAACAGAACAGTGCTTGAAAATACCGACTTGCTTAAAAGTGATGAATTAGTGCCTCAGCTTTAATTTGTGGGTTAGATTCTCCAGTGTCTTAAATGAAGCTGTGTAGATGTGCACAGCTGAAAGCACGGCTGCATGAATTCACCTTACGTTCCTTCCTAACAATTTTTTGAGAGTGATGATTTAACTTCCCTTTGCCCACGGGTGGCAGCAAACTCAGCCAGTAATCCAAGTAAAAATTTCAGCAGAATTATCCATGGAAACATTCAGATCATCTGAGTCTCTATCCTTTGATTATCAAACTTCTGAACATGAAGTGACTGTAATGATTCACAGTATCTGTTAATGGTTAAGTCCTAGCTTCAGTGAGCAAGTTGCAAAACAGTCATCATTTGAACCGTTTTCCACAGTTGTAAATATAAATGTGTTTTAAAAATAATTCAGAAACATTGAAGTCCAATGCCCTATATCAATAGCTGTCAAACAGGAAAATATGGTTACATTTAATGAAAAGGGTTGTGGTTTTGTTTTTGCTTTTTCCTGAATGTATATGAAAAAGTGAAATAGAAATTCAAGGTAAATGAGGATGCATTAAAACAAAAAGTCCTAGACCTAGTCTCTGCTGTTTAACTTTAGCTGTGTTAATAATTATCAGCATACCACTAAAATACTTCCTTAACACACTAGATTATCATGAGTTGTTAATTCAAGATGTATTTGTAAGATGTTTAAAGATTCTGCACTGAAAAGCAATATACATAAGAGAAGATACTTTTTCCAAATGAAAGATTATTGGAGGACTGAATGACCAATAATTTTTTTTTTCCTGCCTTTTTCTCCTTTTTTTAAAAGAGAAACTTATTGTTCCATGAAATATACTGAAGGGAATTGCATGAAAAAAACCAGTATGTGGTATTTGTGGAAGTACTGCTTCTATTTTACATCTCTGGGGAGCAGTCTCTCTAAATTCCCCAGCATTATGACTCCTTTCTGGTTATCAGCCAGCTATGACAGAGGAACAACGTTGTCTTAATGGAAATGTTGCACTTCCTGTGTCATAGAACCATTCAGGTTGGAAAAGACCTTCGAGATCATTGAGCCCAACCATCAACCTAACACTGCCAAGTCTATTGCTGAATCAATCCCTAAGCACCTAATCTACACATCCTTTAAATACCTCCAGGGATGGTGACTCCATCACTTCCCTGGGCAGCCTGTTCCACTCTTAAACAACTCTTTCAGTAAAGAATTTTTTTCATAATTTCCAACCTAGACCTCCCTGGCCATTTCCATTTGTCCTATGACTTGTTACTTGTGACAAGAGACCAGCACTCACAACCTTCTTTCAAATAGTTGTAGAGACAGATAAGGTCTCCCCTTCACAACCTTCTTTCAAATAGTTGTAGAGACAGATAAGGTCTCCCCTCAGACTTCTTTTCTCCAGACTAAACCTGGACAGTCTGATCCTGTGCTGTTAAGACTTCACTCCTGAGGAATGTCCAGCCTTCCTGGAGTCCTTTGCCCTTCAGGACTGCCTCCCAAGGGACTCTGTCCACCAGGTTCCTGAACAGGTCAAAGTCTGCCCTCTGGAAATCTAAGGTGGCAGTTCTGCTGACCTCCCTCCTTACTTCTCCAAGAATCAAAAATTCAAGCAATTTTGTGATCACTATGCCAAAGACAGCCTCCAGCCACCACATCACTCACAAGTCCTTCTGTTTGGGAACACCATGTCCAGAAAGGTACTTTCCCTTGTTGTTTTGCTCTCCAGATGCGTGAGGAAATTATCTTCCACTCACTCCAGGAACCTCTTGGACTGTTTCCTCTCTGCTGTATTATACTTGCAGCAGACATTTGGTAAGTTGAAGTCCCACAGGAGAACAAGGGGTAGTGATAGTAAGACTTCTCCCAGCTGCTTGTAGGATAGATATTCCATCTACCTTCTCATCCTGGTTGGGCAGTCTGTAACAGACTCCTACCATGATATCAGCCTTGTTGGTTGTCTCCCTGATTGTTACCCATAAACAACCCTGTTGTCACCATCATTAATCTCTAGACAGTCAGGACACTCCATAACATAGAAGGCTACCCTGTCACCTCTCCTTCCTTGCCTATCCCTTCTGAAGAGTTTATAGCTATCCAGTGTAGCACTCCAGTTGTGAGTCATCCCACTGTGTTTCCATAATGGCAACTATGTCATAGTTTTCTTGCTGTTCAGTGGCTTCCAGTTCCTCCAGTTTTGTTGCCCATGTGGTATGCGTTGGTGTTAGATGCACTTCAGTTGGACCATTGATCCTGATTACATATTTTAGGGGGAGAAGTCCTAAATCCTACATGACCATTCTCAGGAGTTTCTGTGGCTTCCAACACATTGACCTCATGATCATTGCTTCTATATGGATCTCCACCTTCTTCCTCCCCTGAGATGGCACACCAAAGGAACTCACTAGCAGACCATCCCTGAAACGTTGGTGTGCTGCTCCCAGTTTTATTGCTGTTGAGTCTGAGTAGTGCAGCAATAATAATGAAGCAGCAATCGTGATATAATTTTGTTTTGAGATTAAAGAGTGGCAGTAAAGTAAAAAACAGAAAGGAGAGAGAGATGTCCTGAATTCTCAGTAATCCTGTGTTTAACTGTTGAAAACAAAAATAAACTACACTTGAATATGACACCTCATATTCTTAACTTGCTAAATTGAATCATAAACATTATTTTCCAGAAAACTGTATGTTTAGTACTTTATAGAAACCGAAGCTTAAGCTTTATAGTAGATCTACTGACAGTGAGCACTCTTAATTACAAATAGATTCCATCAACTTACATGCAAATTGGAAGATGAAAAAAAAATAAATGCTTGTCATTAATATGTCAGATAGGATCAGAGAAGACACCAGTTTGAAGATATCAAGGTTCACTTAGTGCTTCTGAGATAGAAAGGCAAACGCTTGCAGTTATGTCAATATTTAGATGTAAAGCTGCCAATCTGAATTATAAACATGTAAAGCTCTCCACTAAGTCTTTGCAGTGCCCAAAACAATGAGCTATCAGCACCTTATATGTCTAACATGCTTCTGATGAATGAAACAGTGAATTCTGAAACTGACTGAAAAAAACCACAGGGGGCATTAAAGCTCAACATGCCCCAGAAACGTGTGTTTGCAGCCCAGAAAGCCAATGGCAACCTGGGCTGCATCGAAAGAAGCATGACCAGCAGGTTGAAGGGGGTGCTTCTGCTGCTCTCCTCCACTCTGGTGAGATCCCACCTGGAGTACTGTGTCCAGTTCTGGAGTCCTCAGCGCAAGAAACAACATGGACCTGTTGGAATGGGTCCAGAGGAAGGCCACAAAAATTATCAGAAGGATGGAACATCTCTTCTGTGAGAACAGGCTGAGAGAGTTGGGGTTGTTCAGCCTGGAGAAGAGAAGGCTCTGGGAAGACCTTACTGCAGCCCTTCAATACTTGGAATTGACTTCTAAGAAAGATGAAGATAAATTTTTTAGCAGGGCCTGTAGGGATACGACAAGGGTTTATGGTTCTAAACTAAAAGAGGGTAAATTTAGACTAGACGTAAGGAAGACATTTTTTTTAATGAGGGTGGTGAAACACTGCAACAGGTTGCCTGGAGAGGTTGTGGATGCCTCATCCTTGGAAGTGTTCAAGACCAGGTTGGATGGGGCTTTGAGCAATCTAGTGAAAAGTGTCCCTGCCAGTGGCAGGGGGGTAAGAACTAGATGATCTTTAAAGTCTCTTCCAACCAAAACCTTGTGATTCTATGATTATTTTTCTTTACATGACCTGGTTGGGAATTTATATTCCCTAGCAGCAGTTGTCCTGAGGTCACTGTAGAGCAACATTACCAGAATCAGAAAATGAAAAATAAACGACCAAATGGGTCTGATAGCAAGTACTGGTGTCACAGGATCAGCACATCAGCAAAGACTAGAAATCCCTGAAATGCCCCTATGCTACTGCTTAAGTAAGCACATCTTTTACACACAGAAAGCAATATTATGGTAATCCCTGTGGTTCATGATCAAGTACAGGGAAAACTTCTCATGAGGCCTTCCATTTTATCCATTTTCAATGTTAAATCAAGTTTCAATAAATGCTGGAGGCAATAAACCACAGTCCCACATGTTACACAGTTATTAATATGGACACAAAAAAAATAACCAGAGAAATTGAGGTTTTGCTCAAGTTAACACAGAAACATCAAATAATTCTCCTTTTACTCAGCTACTATTTTTTCCTTTTCACTTTGTCCCCCCCTGTATGCTCTCTTCCTCCTTTTGCTACTTCCCTTAGGAAGATACATCTAAAAAAGAGTTTGATAAGAAGCTTCTACTTGGCTTGCAGTTTCTCTTAGAAATGTTTAGGCATATATTTAGTTTTTCTTTTCTGGTGGACCTAAGTGGAATCAGGTAGTTCTCCCTATGCTATTTGCTTCCTAATGGCTTCTCACTGGCCAAAAAAATAGATCCTAGAAATCAAGGTAGCATGATGAAATAATGATTGATGGATGTGAATATCACCAGAAAGTCCCAAGCCATGATGGAAAACCTAGTGTTCTCTCACAGAAGTGGCATTAGCCACTTCTCTTGCCTGTCAGATGGGCTCATCCCTCTGGTATTGTGGACTCGAGGTCAACTCAATGAAGTGTTGTGAAAACATACAGATAATGAACAGCAGGAGAAAGATTTGCGGCAAAGTTCAGTTCCCCTGAGATGGTTTTAGCCTCTCTGCAGAAAGCTGCTGCTCTCTGAACTAACCCTGTTTGTGAGCTGAACCTCTGCAGGATGCACTGAAAATTGTGGTCATTTGACAGGAGAGGGGCAAGGCACCACATGCTTCTCTCAAAGAGCATTTCTGCTCCTCCTTTTGGTTCAGGCTCTCAGCAAACACAAAGCTTTCCATAGCATGGTTAAAATTCAGTTTACGTGGAGAGGAGAAGGTGTACAGAAGACAGTTGTACCTAATATAGGTCTTGACAATCAAAGGAAGGGAAGCTTGAATCAGTTTCCGAATTCAAATTAAAGAACAGTGGCTTTGATCTGCTGATTCCAGCTCCTATTTTAGGAGCCAACAGGGACTTTGTCTTCAAAGCTAGAACTGAGTGAACTTGGCACAATGTCAAGCCAGAGAGGCCAGCTGTGGACCTAAGACATGTAGTTGGCACTGCTGGGCTTCTGCCCTGCATTGCAGCTCAAGTAGGGCTGCTGAAAATGAGAGCAGCCCGTGACTGCTCTCACTGATACCAGGACATGCAGCGGAGCCCGATGCGTGCTGCATCAGGTTAACACAAACAGCAGATATTGATCTTGAACACAGAAATTATGTGCTGGCTACAATAACTGCCATTTCATATGGCACTTATGTAGTGGCCACAAACATCCTTCTCAATGAGATGAACTCAAAAAAAGGTGGCAGCTATTTTCCATTACCCTTGAGTGGGACCTGTCTTTTGGAGAAATACATTGTTCTCAACTCATTTCTGGCTCAGGCACTAACAGGCAAAGAGCATTCCCTCTGTTTCTGGATTTCTTCCACGTCTTGGCCAGACTATCATGTAAGACTTGGTTGGGAAAACAAGGAAACACTCTGTTTTAAACAGGTTAGACCTTTAATTTAAAACTGTTCTCTGCGCCTTTACTTTCCCTTACAAAGTTGCCAAGCAGATAGATATTTGAGTTCTGGAAGCAGAACTCTGTTCGTGCTAAATAAGAAAGCAGCCTTTCAAGAACAGCTTGGACTTGGTAAGGGGTAGATTTACACTGGCTGCTCGCCCAGAGGTTCTCTTTTTCCTTAAGAGAGACAGAGAATGGGAGAGGAAGACAAAGTGAACCTTTATTGCTAATTATATAAAGGGTAAGAAAGATAACAAATTATATGCTTCCATGATATTGGGAAACCATATTTTTTTTTTTTTTTAAATTCGTAATGCAGTTCCGTTAACTCTTCTACTTTCTAGCTGTACAGAAAGATTTCATATTCACCAAGACTCATTTACAGCAAAATTATAGCAGATAAGTAAATCTGTTCCACCCACGGCATCTGGTTACAGATCTAGGTGGTTACCACCTTAACCTTGTTATTAGAATTAGATGGCCTACTAAAAGGACAAGAATGCCATACATATTTTACAGTGAACCATTTGATTTCAGTTGTTATGAGTTCTGCCTTATGAATAAATCATTTCAGATAAATAAAACATATTCCAGGCCCACTTGCATCACCAGAACCATCTAGGACTAAGACCCCTCTGAATGTTATGCGGTGGCCTGAGTAGTCCTGTGCTGAGTACTGTAGAGCAGGGTATAGCATAACATCAGATTTATGGAAAAAAATAAAAAGGTAAAAAAAATAATCAACAGGCCATTGTAGTGTTATGTCTTCTTCTAAGCAGATGAGGAATTTTTAGTTCTTAAAGTTTACCAGGTGGAAAAAAACCATACTTTTTCAAGTGGCTCCAGCTTACTATCTATGATCACAGCCTTCCACCTTCCAGCTTTGTAAGGACACAGGGAGGTGGCAAAGGACATTGACTATGACAGTGTAGACGTATGACCCACGCCACAGGTATGGCATGTGTGGTTGCTTTCCATTCCAGTAGGCCTTCTACTGCTCAGGAAGGCAGAATAGGTTAAAGCTACCACAATTTTTTAAAGTATATTTTATTTTAATTAGTTTCTTCCCCTTTCTTCCCTCTTTACTACAAAACTTATTTTCTGGCATATTGCTAACTTTTAGCTGGAGTATTTAATGATTAGGTCCTGTATCTGACCACACTGCTCCTTATTCTTTGCTGTGACTATCATATTCCACCTACAGATTTGGAAAAGCACTTCCAAAAACAACCAATAAGTTATCTACTGCAGTTATTTAAGGGGAAAAAAACCCCAAAGTCTTAATCTACAGGTTAACAACAAAAAAAACCCCATGTTCATGGCACAACTGAGATGTAAGCAGAATAGTATGCATAGTCCTTTCTCTCTCAGTGGGAAAAACTGCAAGCAGGTAAGATGTGAAGAGTGGGAAAAAAAAATATAGCACATTTATTTGTTTTAACTTATTTATGGTACAATATTGAACATTTAATATAAAATTAAGTAGATTAAATAGTTTATTAATTACAGAATAGAGACTACCTCACTCGATTCATACATCTACATAATGTAAGCATTATTATATATCAATAAAACATTTAGTGTTGATTATGTACTTCATGTATTCATCACGCCAACATTTTTCTAAGTGCTATACATTATTTATGTAATGTATTGCTAATTACCGCAACACCAATTTTTCCTCTTTCAAACAGCCTCTTCAACTCATTTGTGTCAGGTCTTGCCAAATTAATTGGGATGCTGTGCATCCCATTATTTGACAGTATTCAGATCTCATACTGCTGTACTTTGGTTGGAAAAAAGAGATTGCCCTGCTTTTAAAATAGTTACCATCAAGCCCTGTTTCCAGTTTTTTCTTTACCGCCCAATGCAGCGGGACATGCTATCAAACGGTGGCAATGCACACTGAACAAAGTGCTATCGATGACTCATTAAAAAAGGCTGATGTAGACCATAATATATGATTTATTATTTAGCTTTGTCACATGACTTTACTTAGTAAGTTATTAATAACCTTACCTTGAATACCAGTTCTCCTATCAGTCCGTTCCACGACCCATCATCCTGAGGACTCCCGTATTTGTGATCCGGTGCAACATAAATTTCATATTTAAAGCCGAGGTAAGTGGCCAAGGCTTCCAACACATCTATTGAGAAGCCCTGATACTTCTTTGGTTTTCCCAGAACATTTTCAGACACCATGACAAAGGGTTCTTCCTAAATAGAAAATCAAGGAGGCAACTGTTAGTAAAGCAATGACATGCCACATTTGAGTGCTGGGGTTTTTTTTTAAAAGTAAAGGAGGAACTATTTAAATACTGTTTATACAAAATGTTCCAACAACACTTTGCTAGCAGTGCTTCTTGAATGATGAGAAATTCTGTTATGTATTTACTTCAACAGAGAAATTTTATTCTTTATTATGTAGTTCAGAAGTAAATCTTCTAGTGTAACATAACTGAAATGCTTTTCAGTTACACCTTCTGATGACACTTTTAGTGGGCAGGGCAGACACACATTCATAGATACAGAGGATTCTACAGAGCTGCCAGCTTCCACTGCTTGGGCAAACACTGTAGCTGACAAATGCAACTACCAATTCATGCTATAAGGAGTGAAAAACATGGGAAAATAGGCCATACCTCAGAAACATGCATTTCTTTTGCCTTTCTACTGTAATCTGAATCTGAATAGAAGCTGGCTGATTTCAAATAGTTCTATTGAAAAAGCATCCATGTGATTAGTTTAGGGAGAATCAATTATGGGACTTAAGATTGCCTCTAAGAACGATTAGTGAATATTCATCAAAAAGATAAAAATAATGAAGGATACAAATAGATACTGAAAGTTGGAATTGGTTGATAAGACTTCCAAACAATATGCTTTTCTTTTCCTTTTCCCTAAGATCTGTAATTGTTTTCTCTATTTTATTAATTAATATTTCTAATAACTTTTTAAGAAAGAAATAATTTTTCATCTAACTTTAATTTCTTTTTTCCCTTCTCTATTATTCTTCCCGTTGAGTGTTTAATTTCTGGACATTCTCCTTCACATCTTTTTTAAAATGAAACACCAGAAGTAATCATATCTCTGAGCACGAAATATTGTATTTGCCATAGACGGATCTCACTTATGTTTGTTCTTTATTTTCTCTGAGAATATTTGTCAGATCTACCTAAGTGGATCAAAAGCATCAAATCCCCCAAAAAAGCATGAGGGCACTGTAACACTTAGGTTTGTTTGTTTGTTTGTTTGTTTAAATATGCTACATTTCTTCCTTATAATTCTTTACACGGTGCTCTAATTTAGTGTGAGTTTATCAGAAACAACTGTCCTGAGGTGCAAAAAGTTAGTTCTGACCTGTCATGTCTTGCCATGTCTATTTCCTCCTGGTCTGCATATCCCACAAGCATACAGAAGAAAACAAAACTGATTTTCTGTAGTACTTGTGGCCTGCACCTAATGGGCACCTCTAGAGGCACTTTTGCTGGTGTGTAAATGATTTTTCTCTTCTATTCTACTACTCCGTCCTGTCTATCTGGACTTCAGTAAAGCCTTTGACATTGTTTCCCACAGCATTCTCATGAAAAAATGGGCTGCTCATGGCTTAGACGGGCATAGGCTCTCCTGGGTAAAACACTGGCTGGATGGCCAGACCCAAAGAGTGGTTGTGAATGGAGTTAAATCCAGTTGGCAGCCTGTAAGTGTTCCCCAGGACTCAGTACTAGGGCCAGTCCTGTTTAATATCTTTGTCAATAATTTGGATGAGGGGATAGAGTACGTCCTCAGTATCTTTGCAGACAACAGCAAGTTGGCCGGGTGTGTTGATCTGCTTAAGGGTAGGAAGGCTCTACAGAGAGACCTGGACAGCTTGTATCAGAGGCTGAGGCCAACTGTGTGAGCTTCAACAAGGCCAAGTGCTGGGTCCTCCACTCAGGTCACAACAACCCCAGGCAATGCTACAGGCTTGGGGAAGAGCAGCTGGAAAGCTGCCTGGCAGAAGAAGGCCTGGGGGTTTGATTGACAGCTGGTTGAACTTGAGCCAGCAGTGTGCAGAGATGGCCAAGAAGGCCAATGGCATCCTGGCTTGTACGAGAAATAGTGTGGCCAGCAGGACTAGGGGAAGTGATTATGCCCCTGGTACTCAGCACTGGTGAGGCTGCATGTTGAATACTATGTCTAGTTTTGGGCCCTTCAATACAGGAAAGACATTGAGGTGCTGGAGCAGGTCCAGAGAAGGGCAACAATGCTGCTGAAGGGCTCAGAACACATGTCTTATAAGGAGAACCCAAGGGAACTGAGGGTGTTTAGTCTGAAGAAAAGAAGGCTGAGGGGAGATCTTATAGCTCTCTACAACTAACTGAAAGGCAGCTGTATTGGGGGAGAGGGGAGGTGTCGGTCTCTACTGCCAAGTAACAAGTGATAGGACAAGAGGAAATGGACTCAAGTTGTGCCAGGGAAGGTTTAGGTTGGCTACTAGGAAAAATTCTTCACTGAAAGGGTTATCCAGAACTAGAACAGTCTGTCCATGAAAGTGGTGGAATCACCAACCCTGGACAGGTTTAAAAGTCATGTAGCTATGGTGCTTAGGGACTGATTTAGTCATGGACTTGGTAGTGTTAGGTTAATGGTTGCACTCAGTGGTCTTGAAGGTCTTTTCCAACCTAAATCAGTGGTCTTGAAGATCTTTTCCAACCTAAGCGATTCTGTTGTTCTTCAATTCCAATCTCTGTCAAGGACATAGATGCCAGAGTACTTTTCACAAATTTTGTTCTTCAATTCTCATCTCTGTCAAGGACGTAGATGCCAGAGTACTTTTCACAAATTTTTCACTCATCACTAAATATTTTTAGTTTGTTAGTATGTCACTCTATATGAAAAGGTATCGCTGAATTGCAGACAGGATGTTCTAGGAATAAAAAAGCATCATTTGTAAACACTTGAGTTACCATTCACATGCAGAGGATGCTGCCAAAGAAGCAAGGCTACAACCAGTCTGCACTGGTAGGTTGTTCTTGTCTGACTGCAGGAAACACAGAAAAAAACCCCATGCCCCCCAAACCAAAACATAACCCAAAAACAACCAACCAAAAAACCAAAAGAAAAAAACCCACCAAAAAACAAACACTGGGAAAAAAGCAGAAGGGTGGACTGTCTCAAGTTACTATTTCCCAGTTGTCAGAATTTCTTTTTTCCAAGATATCAGCCAAATGGAATGAAAATGGGGGACAGCAAGTGCAAGTGAGTTTTTAAAGTACTTTTCCAGTGCCTGAATTCCAACAACATTGAAAGAATTGATACTAAGTTGATGAAAGCCTCTCCTGGATGAAAACACCAAGTGAATTCAGCTTTGCTGATCACTTGGATGACAGATTCCCTACATGCAGATTCAAAAGTACTGGGAAAAAAATGTTTCCACAAAAAAATAAATATTGTAGTTCATCGCTGTTTTAGAAGTTAATAATTTTCACATTAGAGAGTATGTGTTCTTATCATTTCTAAGTTATTAGAAAATAGTTGCTCATAAATGGAATTTTTATTGTCAGTTAAAAAGCAATTGCTAATTTCACTGCTTTAAAACACTGTTTAAAATGCAGTGTGTCATGACTAATTTCAGTCTTTTATTAAACTACGTAATACTGTTTGCTGTTGAGAGATTTACCAAAAAAAAACCCCAATGTCCAGTGTGCTGTATATTTCCTGAAGTATAAATAATGAAACAGCTTTATGCAAAGCAACTAACACTTCCTAATTTCTGTTGAAGCCTGGAGCAGCAAAATATTTAATCACATTCCAAACAAAACAAATCTATTGCTTTGTGGGTTTTGTAATTGTTTACATTTCTCAGAGGCACTGAAAGAGGACAAAAATATTTGTCTTGATATTTTCCATATATGCTGCAGGCTTAAAGTGTACCCATTGTCCTTTTGCACACTAGGAAGGTGATTCAGGAGCTCCTACAGAGAGACATATACATCCCTACTATACTGATGTTGAAGTGATTGTCTCCATCTTTCAGAAAACAGATCTTGTAGAAAGAAAATACACAAGACAAAGCCAGCCAATACATTTCTCACCTCCTGAACACAAAAATAATGAGAACAAAAAAATAAGCTTGTAGAAAGTAGGTGTCAAAAACTGACAAGCTAAATGATGAGTTTGGAAGTGGCAAAATTCACTTGGATGATGAAGCTTCTATTCAAACTCAATAAATTCAAGAAATTCCTGGTACACTTTCTTTCCAAAGAAAGTGGTATTTCAGACTATATAAGCAGGTCTTTCTCAGAGAAGTCATATAATCACCATCCTTGGGGATACTCAGAGATCTTCCCTGGACACAGTCTTGAACAACCTACTCTAATATTAACCCTACTTCACTCAGATGCCATCCAAGGGTCCCTTCAAACCTAAATTGTTCCAGAATAGAGTGAAGTGATCCAAGGAAGGCCACTGTTCCTGCTTCTCCTTTTCTTCCATTTTTGGAGACACCTCTCTAGAGGACTGAGCTTCTGTGGGGCAAGAGCAAACTTTACAGCCTGTAAAGTCAGGGAAGCCTGGAAAAGCAAAGAAGGCACAAGATGTATGACTGACGAGGGGGGGGAAAAAAAAGGAAATTAGTGGTTATTTTCACCCTTAACTTCTTTGTTTTGCAAGATGGATGATCTGCCTCACTGGGCCACATAGTTATCAGCTACATTTAAGGGGTGACTTTGCATCCAACCTCAGTGGGGATCCTTTAAGAGAGGAGCTACTTTCCTTCTACTTTACCCCCAGTGTGCCTCCTTGTCAACCAGATGCAGCACTGCAAAGCCTGTGATAAGGGCTGCTTCTCAAAATAGCTCCAGTTATCGCTATCTGGTTTCTTCCTGGCACCTAAGCTGTGCTGCCCTGATACAGAGGAGGATGTTTTTACAACAGATGCAGATCAAAGGATTTTACACAGTGCTGTGGGTTAACCCTTGTTGACAGCTAATCACCACACAGCCCATACTACCTGCAGCAAAATGGAAGGCAGCAGCAAACAGGTAAAGTATATATTAGGTGAAGCTGTGCACATTGCTTTTTACAGCTGTAAGAAGGCAAAGTCTGGTTCCAGAGATGATCACTCCCTGAGCAAGAGAAGCTGCACAAAACTAACACTAGGATATCTTAGGAAGGCTAAAGGCAGACCCAAGATTAAGGCAACATGGCATAATAAAAGGATGGAGTTGGGAAAG